AAAAAGTAAAGAGAAAAAGTGATAAAATTGGAATAAAATTATTAAATTCGTCCATGAAAGTGCTAATTAAATTCTCATTCACAATTAAAGTAGCATTTGCGTTTTAATAAGAAATGAACCGAATGTATATTTTCTTAATAGAAATTACACCTCTTTTTTTCTAATTCGTATGACTTTTTTTTTTCTTTTTTATTTATTCCCTTTTTTTTATTTTGAAACGAGGAAATGAATTAACAATTTTTCATAATAATATAAATTGATTTTACTCAATTAATATTTGAGTAAAATCAATTTATAAACCGCAATACCCATCTTTTTCTTCTTCTTTGTTTTATACGAATAACATATAGCTTCTTCTTTTTTTAAGCATAAGTGAATGAATAGAACTTAAATATAACCTAATTAGACATTTAAAAGATCAAAATATTTGGTAGTAAGATGATTTAAAATTTTTAAAGAAATTAATTTAACATTTTTCTGAAAAAAGAAGATTTATGAAATTTTATTCCGAATTTTTTGTACAGTAATAAATTTGCAAATATATCAATGTTTCTTGTTAGATTACAAATGTTTTCTTTTTTATCTTACCCGTTTTGATAATAATCCCTGAAGAGAAAAGAAAAACAGATAAGATGCAAATGTATGAAAATAAATAATAAAAATGGAAATAAAATAAAATAAAATAATTTTGTTCCAGTTTTTTTTCCGTTTTGATAAGACACTTAAGACGACATTACAATTTCTTTCCCGTAATGAACTATTTTAAAAAAAAGTAGTTTTTTTAAACTTCAACAAAAACGACATGAAAAGGCGCATTGTTGTTGCATAGATGACATAGCTGCCAAACAAATATTCGGATTGATATGAATCCAAATGGCACACCACGGTGAAATATCAGTACATACTTCTATAAGATGAACAATTAGTTTTTGAAAGAAAAAAAACAAGAAATAAATTTAAAGAAAAAATACGCAAATCTTATAAGATAGTAAAATATTTAACTCTAAATGTTATTTTAATTAACGTAAGAAAAGTTAAATTCGTTTCATCAAAATGAAATTTTTTTCCAATAAAATTTAAATAACATAATTTGCCTATATTTTATTGTTTATACAATACATATGAAATATACGAAGTAAAGTGAAATAGCTAGAAAAAATTGAAATACTTTAGCAATAAAATGCATCAAATTTGATAGATATTTTAAAAGTTACACATTCATAGAAAATTTTTTCACATTGAATTTTAATATTTCTCATCAAAAGATAACACATTTAACTATGCACATACGTAACACATACAGGTTGCTTACAATGTTCAATACTAAACCACATTTTAATGAAATTTTTGTTAAAAAAAGATTAAATTGTTAAAAAATTTGCTCAACTTTATTAAATTTTACAAAATATCTCAGTTTAATGCATCAATTTTTTCCTATTCAACTACCTATTTAGTATGAAATTTAAATTCCAACATGAAATTAATTAGTACATAAGAAACAGAAAAAAAATGGAAGGAAGGAAATGAAAAAAAAAAACATACTGTTTCGAAATTGTTGAAATTTACGCCGTATAATTTGCTCTTTTTGTTCCAAATTCTCCAATCGATAATTACGATCAATCCGTGATAGCACTGCTTGTTGTGATATGATTGGAACAACTGGTGATTTTAATAATGGTACTGCTGTTGCATTGTTTGATGAATATCGAGGTGAAAGGATTGATAAAGCTTTTGATGATTCGGTGGTATTTGAATTAATTATTATACCCGGTGCAACTGCTCCTGAAAATTTTTATACATGTTTAGTATAGGAATGAAATTTTCGGTGAGAATGAAGTTTTGTAGAGAAATGATCAATTCTTCATTCGTGAGATTTTAAAATTATATATAATGTTTTTGATCATTATTGCATTAAAAAAATTATGCAAAATCTGAATTGCATAAAAAAATTATCATTATTGCATAAAAATTATAAAAAAATAATTTCATTATTCATTTTTTCTATCTTCTTTAGCTGAAGTAATTTAACTTTCATTTTTTTTTCATATTCACTTCAAGAAATCTTCGATTATTTATTTAATTTTCATATTTTTTTGATCATTTTTGAATTAATGATTGAAAAGTGTAGTTATGAACTTTGCGATCGTATAATTGCATCGACTACAACTCGTACACCTGCCCATGTTTCCCGACCAGTTGGTATTAATTGTCGACGATCCAAGAGGAATCCATCAAAATCTG